GGTCCTTGGGGAACGCCTTTATGAGCGAGGTTTCGCTGCACGGCCGCGCGTTTGTGCAGCCCATCGGGGTGTTGCCATTCCTCGGCAGGGTAGCGCCGTCGCTCCCTGATGTGCCGCTGCACCCTTTGGAGCGGTCTTCCCCGCACGTGGCGTGGACGCACTGTGCCATTCTAGATCTGATGCACCGAGCTTGCGCCGTGAGCGTGCGTAATCGTCGTTCGTGGCCCGACTTTGTTACTGGCGGTCGCAGCGCCTTTCTCGTGTATGATTACCGAAGCGACTCCTTCGTGGCTCGTCCTGTACCGTCCACTTCGGGTCCCTCGGGTAGGGGCGGAGGTGTGGGGTCCGTGTCACGGTTGGCTTACCGCAAGCGGTACCGCGACTTGGACGGGGAACCCGCGTCGCCTATGCGCGGGTACGGACCCGGTTCGCTCCCCGCTCGCCTCGGGTGCGAGTTACTGTACAGCTGCTGTCTCGCCCGTGCCACCCCTTCCACCTCTGGACACCTCCGTGGGCGACTCGCCTGGTCGGAATGCCGTGCGGTTCTTGGCGCTGCCCCGGGACGAGATCAAGATTATTCCCGACTTGGGACGGGCCCTCGGGAGCTCGATCGATCAAGCGTGGCATGTCGGTACCCTGCTGAGCACCCTTGCCAGCTGGTACTTTGCCCGTAGTGAGGAAGCACGCCACCTCGGGGCCGAGCGATCGACGTACGCGTCGCAATTAGACCGAGTGCGGGGCGAACTGGTGGCCCTCAGGGAGTCCTCGAGGCGTCAATCTGACTCCCTGGAACGTGCCACTGCGGAGCGCGATCGCTACCGCCGCGAACGCGACACCCTCCGGTCCATACGTCAGGTTCCGTCCTCATTTGTCGCCCCGTCACGCACTCCATCGGCCTCTATGCCGCGTCCGGCGTTGCCGGACCCCTACGAAGGGGTGGAGTACGATTCCCCCATGGTCAACGCGCGTGCGGCCCCAGTCGGTCCGGGGCCTTCCTGGTCACAGTACGGGGCGGTCGCCATGCCTCCGCTTGAGGACATGGACACGAGGGTGCCTTCGCACCCTAGTTATTGTCCTCCAGGCAGCTACAGTCCTACCCCGTCGGTTCCCCGCAACCGCCCGGGCCGTTGAGCCAGTGAGCCACTTATCCACGTCATCCTCTCTCTTCCCGTCCGTCATCCGTAAAGCCACTAGGGCTCCTTGCCTCTCTTCCCCGAATATACCAGACCGTCCATCGTTGGCGTGTGTCAGGGAGCCGGGAAGGGTCGGTAGGCGTCTGCCGACCGCCCTCTCCGCCGCTCGTACCGCGTCCTCCGTCATAACCCCACAGTACGGGTCCTATCCTCCCTTCGGTATTTTTACCTACCTCCCCGATGGTCCGTCGTCCCCCGCCACACGACGAGGGGGTGTGATCGTATCCTCTCGTGGTCAGCCCGGGCTATGTCGCTTGCCGCCACCTGTCGCCGCGCGCGTGCGTGCGTCAATGGATACGCGTGGGAAGGCGGCGACGTGACAGCGAGGGGGACTGATAGGGGGCTCTCTGGTGGGAGCGGGTGCTCCTTTCCTTGCTTTGCGATCCGTCCCGCCGGCTCGAGCCGGCTTACGTGGTTGGTCTGCGTCGGGGAGAAGGAGAGGTACGTACCCCCCTTCTCGTGTCAGGGCGTCGGTCGGCGACGCCTGAGACTCTTCCCCGTGCGCGACGTCGGCGCGCTTCTTCTCGGCTGGTACGTTGGTCGCCCGGTCCGGTCAGCGGCGGGTGTTCGGGTCGCCCCCCTTCCTTCCTCGGAGCGGAGGGGGTCCTCCTGTCACCCACGTCACGCCCCGCGGCGTCTCTCGTCAGCGCCCCGCCTTTAGAGGTGGGGCCCGGTTGCGTCCTCCCTATGATTGTCGGACTCGCCCGACCGGGGTCATCGTTCCGAAAGGGGGCCGTCCCCCTTTTCTCCTTCCCCGTCGTGGCATTGAATCGCGAGAGAGGAGGCGGGACCACCGTGGGCGTCGGCGGTAACCGTGGCGCGGACGGTGCGACGATACCCGAGACGCTCGACGGGGGAAGGAGGAGGCTACAATGCACGCTCTCCCATACGTCCGTCCGGTTCGGACGGGGTGCTCGCGGATCCGTACCGTGCACCCATGGCGCCCTCCCGGCACGTGTCGGGTCAGGCGTCATGAGGCGGCCGGGCGGCGAACCGACGTGTCCCTTGGCATTGCTGTCGCGCCTTCCCCCATCGGTGGGGGAGGTTGGCCGTCGAACAACTACGGTGTGTGTGTGTCTGTGTCGCCGCTTGTGAGCCTGCCGAGGGCTATCGGGCGTGCGGCATACGGTTGCCGCCCGCCGTCCGTCTTCCCCGGGGGCTTTCCCCTCGTGATCGTACACGACGGGGGCGATGTGCCTCGGTGAGTCGGGGCTCGGGCGAGCGTCGTATCCCGCTGCGTTCTGAGCTGCGGCGTGGTACCTGAGTGTATTCGTCTCCACGTACGCATTCGCGACAACGAGGGAACGTCAGACCGCATCGTGGGGCGTCGGCTCGTGCGGTCGCACCGGTTGTACGTTCCCCTCCTGACTCACGCACGGGCGAGACGTAACGCCGTCTAGCGCTTTCGACAGTGGCGCTCTCTAAGGCGTCGTAGTTGGCCTTCCGGCCCCTCCGGCCGTTGTCGATCCACGTCCCTCTTTCTCTGCCACAGCATGCTTGTTCGCGACTGCGGTTCGCGGTCCGCCTTGCCCGAATGGTGTCGTGCGTTCGACGTAAACTGCAGGGCCCGCGCAAAGCGCAACGAAGGGGTAATTATTCCCAATCGGCGAGAGCGAGGGAGGGGAAAGGGGTTAGTGACGGACCGAGCGAGTTAGTAACGGAGACTCGAATGCGGTGCGCGTCTCCCAGCGTCTCCCGCCTTCGGCGGCGGAGGTTCGGGTTCATCTTCTATCGTTCCGCGGCCGTCCAATCCTTCCTCGATCGCGGGAGGACGGCTTGGCGGGCGTTATCCGGGGTTGCGCGGCATCCGCTCGGTGCGAGTGCTTGGATCGATCACATGTCCGCTTCCTTCCTCGGTCAGGGGGCGGACGTGTGTACCCTCCCGCCGGTACTCGCTGTACCCTCGGGCCGCGCCGTCCGGTTTTTGCCCTTGCTGTTCGTATGGCGCACAGTACGCGAGACACGTCCTAGTGTAATTCTCCCCGTTAATTTTCCGTTCTTTTCGAGGGACGGTGGCGGTGGTGGTTTGGTGATGACGCAAGCGGTGTTGGCGCGTGGCGTGCGCCTCCGGCGTCGCTCACGTGTCACCTTCTCATTTCCCCTAATTTTCCTTATTAGGCCATCCCCACCGCGGAAGATTTTCTATCTCTATTGAGGTATGATAAGCCCAAAATTCTGGTTACGGATTTTGTGCAACATTACCGCACAAATCTAATCTAAACGGTTAGAGAATCATTTAGATTAGATAGTGAACTGACTCTATATTCTGGAGATTTAGAGTCAGTTTGGAGTCTATTGGTCGAATAGAGACTGGCAATAGATACCCACGTGTGCATTCTGTACAGCCCGTGTGCATTCTGTATGTTTTTCATTGGCCATCGCGCGCGCCTTCTTTGTGCAGAACACCTGGAAGAACTTCGGGGAGTGTGCAACAGTGCGTGCCCGTGAGAGTGCGCAACTTGTGTTTCCCGCCGGCGCGCTTTCCGCGTCTCCCGCGTTTTCCGCGTCTCCCGCGTTTTCCGCGTCTCCTGCGTTTTCTGCGCCTTCCGCGTCTCGCGCGCTTTTCGTTGGGCGATTACAGTACAACATGGGTCAAGGGGGTGCAGGTGTGCGCAATGAAAGCAGGGGGGGCTACGGCGTAGAGGTAAGAAGAGTGTGTCTAAATATGGGGCGTGGGCGAGCGTGGAGCGCTGAGGAGAACCAGCATCTAGCTAAAAGCTGGATTGCAACATCGTGCGACCCGATTCACGGGACGGATCAAAAAGCCACCGTATTCTACAAGGGCGTAATGAAACGCTTCGCAAAGTATGGTGCATCAACTTCATCTAGCGTCCCCAGCGGGCGCTACAGCCACAGGGCTGAGGCGGCGGTTCGCCAACACTGGTTTGAAATATCCGCTGGGTGTTCAAAGTTCAAGTCCTGCATGCGAAGAGTGTTGGCCTCTGCTCCAACCGAAACAACAGACGGGGAGAACGAGGCAATGGCCGTCGCAATTCTGTTAGGGAGGGCGAAACTAATGGACTACGAGAACAAGAGCTTTGACCGCCATCAGTGGCCGCTCTTCCTGGCTTGGAGGGTGCTCTCTGCTCACCCCAAATGGTCTCTGCACACTGACCACGTCAGTGTCGACGGTTCAGGGGGCGATGACAACAGCGAGGGCGACGGCGATGATGGTGAAGATGGGGCTGGCCCCGGAGCCTCCGGCGCGCCCACCCCGTCGTCGAGCGGCGATCAAGACCCCAGCCCGGCTCCGAGAGGTGCGACTCCAGTCCCTGATGCCATGCCTTTGCCGGGCAGCCCTGAGCCGATTGGGAACAAGCGGCGCGGCAGAGCCCTCGGCAGGAGCGCCGCGAAGGCCGCGCGCTTAAGCAGCCGCGCGGACCCGGCAGTCGCTGCGTCCATGCAGGCGATGGCCCACGCGCTCACCCGGAAGGTGGATATTGCGGAGAAGCAGCAAGACAGATCCGAAAGGAGCAGGCTAGAGGACCTGGCAGCGGAGAGGCGCCGTCACGAGGCGCGCGAGGACCGAAGCGCCGTTGCCATTGCGCAGGCCACAATTGCAGCGGCGTTGCTGACAAAGCCCACTGATGAGGATGGCCGGTCGGTCGCCAACATTCTGCGGATGCTTCGCAAGAAGCAAGAGAGCTGTCTGCAAGCCGCGCTGTCCGCAGATGGGCTCGGTGGCGACCACACTGCGGGGTAGGGGGGGCGGACTGTCTCCTTTGCTCCTGATGGGTGTCAACATAGTCTTTCTTTTACTCCTCGCCCCGCTGAGCACGCCCTACTCCTATGTCTCCGCAATAAAACCTACGAGCGACGGCCCTCGCCATCCCAAATGTGCCTTATGAGCTTCCAGGTCAGCTCCCTGTGCGCAGCAGAGCACGTCACCTCCTCCTCGCGGCTCAGAACTTGCGCCGCCCACATCCCATCAGGCAGTTCGCCAGAGGTTTCAAGCGCTTGCTGTGATTGCCACCGAAATATCTGTGACACGCCCTCCGAGGACAGCCTCGCCTCTTCAGACTGTAACAGATGCACCATTCCCGACTCGTAGCTGTCCCGCCGGGCCTCTACGGTCATGTTGTGCAAAATGACGCAGCATTTCACAACGGCCGCAATGTCATCTCGGTACCACAAGTTGATGGGCTTCGCGACTATTTGAAACCGCTGCACGAGCACACCAAACGCGCGCTCAACATCCTTGCGCACAGCCTCTTGCGCCTGGGCGAATGCAGACTCTTCTGCAGATTGTGGGCTTTTGAACGTCTTGATGAAGATGCGCCAATTGGGGTATATGCCGTCCGCCAGGTAGTACGGGAAGCTCATCGCCTCGCTCCCAACTTTGTAGCCAATCTTCGGCGGAAACATCCCCTTCATGATGCCCGAAAGTGTCTCCGAGGAGTCGAGGACATTGATGTCATTGCACGACCCTGGCATGCCAAAGAATACATGCCAAAACCATAGCTCCGCGTCCGCAATTGCCTCTAATACCAGCGTAGGGCTCTTCTCTTTCCCTTGAAACTGCCCGGCCCAAGCTTTCGGGCAGCTCCTCCACCTATAATGCTGGCAGTCGATCGAGCCGATGCAGCCCGGAAATCCGCGAGCAGCGTTGATGGCCATGATGCGCCTTAGATCTGACTCAGTCGGAGCCCTAAGGTACTCGCCCCCAAACGCGGCCACAACGCTTTTCGAGAACTCCTTAAGCAAAATCAGAGCGCTGGTTTTGGACACCCGGCAGTACTCATCCACGACATCACCGCCTACGCCTGTCGACAACATGCGCATTGCCGCCACGATTCTCTGCAGCGGGTGAATACCGGGGACCCCTAAGGCATCGACGCGCCGCACGAACACGCCGCTCCCCTCAAGGGCATACCTCACCCTTTCAAACACCTGCCTTGGGACCCTAAACCTTCTTTCGAAGTCGTCGACACTGTATACGCAATCTTCTGCGAAATAGTCATCGACTATTCGTTCCATGCCCCAGTCAAAGCCGCACCGCTTGTTCACTCTCCGGCCATGTGTGGAGCCACGATGCCAGCGCGGAGGAAGCCCTATGCCCCGGCTGCTGGCGCTCAGAAATGATACCGCCGCGACCACCATCTCATCATCCTCGCTGTCATCGTCGTCGTGCACGCTAGCGAGTGCTGGCTGCTGCTCACCGCCGCTAAAGCTTGATAGCGAGCCCATGGACTTCCTCATCTCCTCACACTCACAGCCAAGCCAGTTCCAATCGATAGGTGCTTCATTGGGCTCCGCCATGCTCGCTCCTTGTGGGCTCGAGGTTGCGAAGAGAATAGACTTCTTTGCCGCGGTAATGTTCAAAGTGCTGATCGGCATCAATTAGATTAGAGACTATCTAACTCGAATAGAGCTGTAATTTTGGCCGGCATTACACTCCGCAATCTGCCAATGGCCAAGCAACAAATGTGCGCTATAGAGATAGATAATCTTCCGCGGTGGGGATGGCCTTATGGGGCATGTGCCCGCGGCGGTTTTGAAGCGTCTCGCGTTCGTGTGCGCATCTCGGTGCTTCCCGATCGGGTTGTCCTTGCTTACCCCCCTTCCTTGGGTATCTTTGCGCGTGTTACGGCGAGCGCAGCTCCACTCTCGGGGCCTTTGCCTGCGGGCTCTGCGCCGTTCCTCGCCCCACCGTCGGGTTAGCTGGCCCGAATGCGGCTTGAGGGCTATATAGGGGCGTACGTCTTCTGCGATCTGCCGACACGAGCGGCGGGCATTTCGGTCACCCGCGCGGCTCGCTGACGTGCTCCGGGAGGGGCGAGGGATTCGGATCCCTTGTGATCAGGCGGGAGCGTGAGTGGGCTCGCGTTTCGGCAGTCCTGTGTAACCATCAGAGGACTCGGTGTCCTCCCCCATTAATTGCCCTACTGTGGGCGATCGCCTTCACGTCGTACGTGTCGCCTCTTCTCCGACTTCGAGTCGGCGGCGGTGTTCCGCCGTCAGGTGGCTTGACTGTCGGTACGTCTCGGCGTCATCGCGGCCCCTCATATCTGTCTTGTGCGTCAATACGTCTTGACGTCTGGCGTCGTCCCATGCTGTGACCCTCCGATAGGGGCAGCCGTCTTCTCGCGCATCCCCTTTCAGTCTGCTCGTGCAGGCTGACGTTAATCCGCGAAGGAGCGGTTGAGGGCCCCCTCCTCAAGCGTGAATGTCCGCGTTTACGTCTGAAGTGAGGTCTCTGCCCGTGCGTCTCCTGAGGCGTTGGGCGTAACGAGACACCAACTCCTCCAGGACGTGGGTCCGCGCGGTCCAGGTGGGCGTGTCGTAATCCGCCCACTTGATGAGGAACTCCGTAGTTCCGTCCTCCATGGTTCGATGCCGGAGTAGTCGTTCGACGGCATACTGAGTACCCTCGGTGACCTTGTCGGCAAGGTCATCCGGAGTTGTCGTGCTCGTATGCGTCGCGCCCGTCGGCGAGGGCGCGTAGACGCAGCGGTCTGCGGAGACGCGTTCTGTAACTCCATCACGATCGATCGTGATGGTGCGCTGGTCGTTCGCGAGAACCCGGTACGGTCCGACAGCCGGGGAGGCGAGCTTGTTTGATGTCTTCCCCCCATCGGTGGGGTTCAGATATACATATTCTCCGGGACGGAGTCGGGAATTAATACGTCGTATGCGCTTATCGAAGTCGCGCTTGTAGCGAGCCTGCGTCCGACGCAGGCTCCCATAGGCCTCCTGGATAGTCGAGTCCAAGGTCTTGAGGAACTCGGCACGTTGGGTCCCCCTATCGGAAGGGGGCGCGTCGCCGTCCGTCCCTCGGAGAGAGAATTCCGGCGGTGGCCTGCTGAGCACGAGCTCAAACGGCGTGGTGCGTGTGGTGCGATGTACGTGGGGGCTGTACGCATACGTTAGCGGCCCCACGTACACATCCCTGTCGTCCTGGTGTTCACCCACGTAGTTCCGCAGCATCGAGGCGATTGTTCAGTTATATCGCTCGACTTGCCCGTTCGTCTGGGGATGGTACGCCGAAGTGTACAAATTCGTTATCCCCAGAACACGGCACGTGCTGTGGAAGAACTTGGCATTAAACTGAGGGCCGTTGTCCGAAAGCAACGTGCGAGGGACGCCATACTTGAACACCCACGAGTCGCAGAACGCAACTGCGACCGTGTACGCAGTTATCGTGCGGAGCGCCACGACTTGCGTTAGCTTACTGAAGAGGTCCGTAGTCACGAGCAGGAACTGTTTTCCTGTCTTCGTCTTGGGGAGCGGCCCCAAGATGTCGATCGCCAGGCTCTCGAGGGGCCTCGTAGCTGGGAACAATCTCAATCGATTGAGATGTTTCCTCAGCTTGACTCGGTTCATCGCGCAGGTTCAGCACCCTCGCACCGTGGCTGCGACGTCTGCAGCCAGGTGGGGCCAGTGGTACTCGCGTCGCAGTGCGTAGTACATCCGGTTCTGGCCCGGGTGCCCGGCGATGGCCGGGTTGTGGCACAGGCGAAGGAGCCTGGCGCGGAGCGTCCGAGGCACCACCACCTGTACGGTATCAGGATCGAAGGGGTGTCTCCGTTTGAGCACCCCTTGGTGGTCCTCGAAGAACGCAGAGTCTCGAGACTCGGACTGTCGTGCCAAAACGGTTTGGCAGAAGTCATCCACGCGTTGCTCCTCGGCTATTTCCTCTATCGTAAGAGGGGCCGGAAGGTCGTCCTGCGGTGGGGCGACCGGGGAGTCGAGCGCGCCAGCCTCGGGGTCTTCGGCGCGCTGGATGTCGGCGGCGTCGAACTCGCCGTTCTCCTCCCAAAACTAATTAGGTCCTTGGAGAGCGGGGGCTTCGTCGTCGCCTCGCGGTTCGTCGCGCGTCTGTACGGGCGGCCTTGCTCGGGCTTCGGCTTGGGTCCGTGTCGTTACGAAGACATGGACGGCCTGATGATCACAGCTCGCGGCTGTACCTGGCTCGTCTACTCATTCGATACGTCTCGAACGGTCGGTGGTCGCGTCAGCACCAGGTCGAACAGGGTTGTCTCCGTCGACCGGTGGACCTGCGTGTTATACGCGAAGTTCAGGGGCTGGATGTATTCGTCCCAGTCCCTCTGATGCTCCGCGACATAATGTCGGAGGCGCTGTACAAGAGTACGGTTGAACCGCTCGGTTTGCCCATTCGTCTGGGGGTGCTGGGCGGTAGTCAGGTAATGCCTCACCCCCAGGAGGGCACACACCGCGTCGAAGAACTTGGCGGCAAACTGCGGTCCGTTATCGGTTAGCACGTAACGTGGTGCGCCGTATACGTAGACCCAGTTGTCCAAGAAGGCGTTAGCCACAACCGACGCGGTGGTGGTCCGTAACGGGATACTGCGCCTCAGCTTAGTTAACCGGTCGGTCATGACGAGCACGTGGCGATTCCCGTGCGCCGTCTTCGGCAAAGGACCCAGCAGGTCCATGGCGACGAAATCCAGCCGCCCTGCCGCTGGGAATAGCTTGAGGTTCTTTTGATGCCGCACCAGGGTTCCCCGGGTGGCGGCGCACGAGGCGCAATTCCGTACGGTACTGAAGGAGTCGTTGGCCATATGAGGCCAATAATATTCCCGCCGGAGAGTATAATACATCCTCGTACCGCCCGGGTGTCCTGCCAGGCGGAGATGATGGGCGAGGTACAATATCTTCGCCCTGAGCCGTTTCGGTACATCCCGCTGCATGGTCCCATCGAGGGGGGACTTGCGGACGACGAACCCGTATCGGTCAACGTCGTAACGCGAGTCCGGGTTCCCCACGGTCTCGGCGGCCGCCCTACAGAAGGAGTCCTCGGCCTGTTCCCGAAGGAACTCTTCCACGGTTACGGATGAGACGTCGCGTTCTTCGGGTATAACCGCGAACGCGTGCTCAGCTCTCCCCGGGTCGACGGGGGTCTCCCAGTGTACGGTACCTTGGCGGGTGTTATGCTCCTCCTCTCGCCATTGTACCGCGAAACACGGGACCTCGTCGTCAACCGGTTCGGAGGTTGCGCCGTCAACTCGAAGGCGTGATACACCATCCGCAAGTTGGTGCTTAATACCCGGTCGGTACTGTGCGTCGTAGTCGTACTCGGCTAGGCGGAAACGCCAGCGCTCTAGCCGGCCGGAGCTATCCACCAGGTTGAGAACCCAGCGGAGGGCCTCATGATCCGTACGGAGGTCGAACGTATTCCCATACAGGTATGGTCGAAGCGTGAGAATACTCCACACGACGGCGAGGCGTTCCTTCTCGGTAGTAGTGTAGTTCTTCTCCGCGTCCGTGAGGGCGCGGCTCCAATAACCGATCGGTAGGCGGTCGCCGTCCGGCTGCTCCTGTAGCAGGGCGCAGCCGACCTGGTACGCGCACGCGTCTGTATCCAGGGTGTACTTCTTTCCGTAACGGGGTAGGGCCAATATCGGTGGGGACACGAGGCGCTTCTTCAGTTCCACGAACGCCTCGTATTCCTCATCGGTCAGGACTTCGAACTCGAAGGGTTGGTTCTTGCCCGTTTTCCGGTTTAACGGAGCGGCTATCTTCGCGAAGCCCTTCACGAACCGGCGGTAAACATTGCACATTCCTAAGAATGACCGCAATTCCGTTTGGTTCTGGGGAGGACGAGCGCGCTCGATGGCGACCACGTTGCGGCGCTCGACCTCCAACCTGCCTGGTCGAATCACGTGTCCCAGGTAGGTGACCGACGTGTCGAAGAAGGCGCACTTCGACAGCTTCAGCGACACGCTTGCGTCCCGCAGTAGGCGTAGAACCTCGCGGACGTGCATGACGTGTTCCGTTACGGTCTTGGAGTAGATGATAACATCATCCAGGTAGACCAGTGCGGTTTCCCATTTTACCCGCGATAGTATGATGTCGACGGCCCGCTGAAAGGTAGCGGGGGCGTTCTTCAAACCGAACGGCATGCGGAGGAATCGGTACAACCCGCAGTGCGACGCGAACGTCGTCTTGTCGCGGTCCTCCTCGGCAATTTCTACTTGCCAATACCCGCTGTTGCAATCCAGCGTGGTAAAGACAGTAGCGTCGCCGAGGGAATCGATGCACTCGGCCATCCTCGGTAACGGATAGGAATCCTGAACGGTGACTGCGTTGAGCTTTCTGTAGTCGACACAGAACCGCATGGTACCATCCTTTTTAGGGACGAATACCACGGAGCTTGCCCATTCGGCCGTGGCGGGTTCGATTAGCCCTGCCCGGAGCATGCCGTCGATCTCCGTTTTATCTTTTTCCCGTGCGGTTGGTCCGGCGCGGTAAGGCGCCTGGTAAATCGGGCGAGCACCGGGCTTGAGCTCAATCCGGTGCTTCGTGGCCCCGATTTTTCCCAGCCGGCCGGTCCACATGTCCTTGAATTCGGACAGTACCTCGAGGATCTCCGAGCG